AGTTCAGAGTGGCCGTGCCGGGAGAGTTGGCATGCGACATTGTAATTTACACCATCTATCTCTTTCTGACTCTCGAGCCTCTGGCAAATTGCATGTCTATGTGTTGGATTAGTTTGGAATTTAATCATGCATTATTTTCCCTCCAATTAAATTATTTATATATTTGATTAACATTTTCACTGCTGGGAAGTCAAATTTTCAATGAAACCACAAATAAACTGGTGCCCATTGAATTTCAGGCCAGCTTCATACAGGGTCAGTTCATCTACTGAATGTTAAGAATTCATTGCCTATCACTTTTCTTATCTACCTTGGATTTTGGTGAGAAAAAGAATGTGTTTTTTTACTTAGTCCTAGGAATATGATACAAACAGTGAAGTTTGGCCTAATGTATAGCCCTCCCTTCCTTGGGGTACCTTTTATAGTGCAGGATCCTGATTTTCAGTCCTTCCTACTGCCTTTTCTGTTCTCTGGCACTAGAACATACCTCCTTCTAACTTTGCATTCTCAGGCTTGAGGGCTCACCTGTCAGATATTAGTATGAGAAGGAAACAGAGCTCATCCAGTTTGGGGGTTAGCAGTCAGTGGCCCATAGGCCAAATCCTGCTGCTTGTTTCTGTGCAGTCTATGAGCTAAGAATGGTTTTTATACTCTTTAAAAGTTGAAAATAAGGTCAAATAATATTTCATGACACATGAAAGTTTTCCACATCCATAAATGAACAGATAACCCATTCATTTAAATGTTGTCTGTGGCTGCTTACAGCGCCGTAAAGTCTCTAAAATATTTACTATCTAGCTTTTACAGAAAATGTTTGCCAACACCTGATCTAATTCATTACTCTAATTTTACAGATGAGAAAAGTAAGGTCCAAATAGGTGAACTGGTCTGTCAAAGGTACACAACTCATCAGAAATTGGTCTGGAATGCATCCTTCACTGCCCTCCAGCGCTCTGCCTACCGTGATATAGGCCCTCAGATGAACACTCGCTGCAGAGGGCAATGTATTTTTTTTTTTTTTTTTTTTTGAGACAAGGTCTTGCTCTTCCAGGCTGGAGTGCATGCAGTAGTGTAGTCCTGGCTCACTACCACCTTAACCTGGACTCAAGTGACCCTCCTGCCTCAGCCTCCCAAGTGGCTGAGACTACAAGCCCATGCCACCACACCCTGATTTTTTTTTTTTAAAGATGGGGTCTCTCTATGTTGCCCAGGCTGGTCTTGGAGCTCTTGGCCTCAAGTGATCCTCCTGACTCAGCCTTCCAAAATATTGGGATTACAGGTGTGAGCCACCATGCCTGGCCCAATGCAGCTTTTTAAAGGAAAGTAAATATTTAGAACACATGCACATGTGAAATCTGTGAGTTCTTAGAATTTTAATTTTCACTTGAAATCTAGTGCTAGGAAATATGTTAAGCTTAAAATACATTTGAACTACTTAAATAGGCAGCAAGATGCCTCCCTTTTTCCTTAAAGCAATTGATTACATCCTCTGTGCAGCATTTAGGTAGTAAAGAAGAGGAAGATTGACTTGGTTCCCCACCCTCCTAGGTGTAGAATTTCATTTAAAGAAAAATAACTGTGGTCTCAATGCAAGTTTGAACTTAAGAGCAGTTCCAGAAAATTGCAAAAACATATTAGTTGGGGCTCAGGTCTAAGGGAGTGGAAAGGGAACATTCCCAAGATGCTAACCTTACTGAAAATGAGGTTGCTTTAAGGGCCCAGCATAAGTTCCCCTCACCCCTCCCCACATGGGGAAAACACCAGGGTGTTCATGCTTGCTGACTGGTGTGGGATTTCCCACCACTCAAATTTCCACACATTGTCTCAGTAGCAAAGGTAGAAGAAGCTGGGCGCGGTGTAAATACGAAATGATTGGGATTTTTCCAGGCACTGCCCTCCTCCGCTGGTTGCCAGTTCTCCCTTCTCTGCTCAGTGCTGGAGTCCCTCAAGACCATTGTAGGCAGAGTCTATACCTTCCCCATCACTTTGGATTATTAAAGTGTCCAATTTAAACCTCCAATGTCAGGTCCAATCCAGAGCCTTCCCTTCCCTGTCAGCAGCGAGGCACAGGCCTCAAGGGAACTGGCAGGCTGTTTGCCCTCCCTTTGCCACCTCATCTAAAGGAGCCAGGGCCTGGGAGTGCCTCCAGGAGACGCCTTCCCTTTCTTTCTAGGGTCCAGCTCCTCCAGTGTGTTGGATGAGACAGGAAAGGAAGAGATGAGAGTCTCTTTGCTGGCCACTGTTGGCACCTCCCTCTTAGCCACCCCTGCTTCCTTGAGTAGCACCAGGTTTCCCTGATGCCCTCCTCCTCAGGGACAGACATGCAAGCCTGGCTTTTCCCTGGGGTGTATGTGAGTTTTTACGCAGGGGTATTTCCCACATCCTCACTGCTGGAGACATTACTGAGCACACAGCATTTTAGGTGAGCCCTGGCAAGCTAGCCCAAGCTTACCTACCTCACGGATGTCCACTTGACCCACAGAAAACTCATGCTTCTCGCCATGCCAAGCAGTGGCAATCTCTCCTTGGCCAGTTCTCTGCTGCCATGCGTGGCCCTCACCCTGTTCCTCAAAGGCGCTAGGCTCTGTTCTTCTGCAGGTACGTCTGTGTCATCGGTCTGCTGTAGTGTCCCATTCTCCCACCCCATCCTTCCCTGCACACCTGGTATGTCTACTCATCCTTCAGGTCCTGCTCTAAATGCTGCTTCATTGGAGAAGCGGACCCTGATTCCTGATGCTGCACACTGACTTAGGATCCCATTACATGTTTTTATAAAACCCTGTTATTTCCCTACATAATGCCCATCACAACCATAATTGTACAGTAATTCAAGCCATGACCGGTTTCCCTCTGATAGACTTAATTCCTTGGGGGCAAGAATCGTTTCTGTCATGTTCCCCAGCACAGTGCCTGGCGTGAGTGGCACCCAGCACATCCTCATAAAAGCACGAGAGAGAACAGGGAACTAATAAGACATGGATCCAGCCTTAAGCAGTTGGCTCAGCACAAATTGTAATTCAGTTTCCCAATTTTAACTTTTCCTTTCTCCCTCCTGTGTTCCTTCCTTATTCTTCCCATTCCTTCTCTCTCCCTCACTCTCTGCTTGCCTTCCTTGCTTCCTTCCTCCCTCCCTCCCTTCCTTTTTTGCTTCCCTTTCATGTGCATTAATCCAAGGATCCAAGCTTTATTTCCAATGACTTGGAAAACTGAACCAAGAGCAACTGTTATGGAGTGATTTTGTGTGATCACTTATTTTTCTCCCGTTTGAGAATCCATAGAACTCCTCTGTAAGATGTGAGCTTGGTTTCCAACGCTGGGCTTCAGCACACATTTGGGAAAGCCCTGGTCTTGTGTATGGGCTACAGAGATGTACTAGAAGCAGACATGTGCGGATTGAACATTGTCCCCTGTCCAGAACATCTGTTCTCTTCCTATACCTGTGTGCATCATCATAACTTTTAAGAAACACTGACATGGAGCCTGGTTGGCTTTTCATAGGAAACCCACATCTGTTTGCCGTGGGGTTGCTCCCCCACCACTGCCGTTTCTGTGTCGTTTTGGAGCTTCTGATGGGATGCTGGCTGTCTCCTCGTGTGCTGCATTGTACCACTGACTCTCTGCTGTTCATCAGATTTTTCTGGGAGCTGCTCCAAGGAGAGGAGATAGAGAACAACAATTTCTTTTCTCTGTCCTCACCCAGTTTTAAACTCCAGAAACAGCACAGAAAACTTTATTTTTTGTAAAACTTTTTTTTTCCCTAAAGCGGTAGGCCATCTAGTGGAGTAACTGGGAAAGGCCCACTCTGAGGGCAGAACTTCACCTTCAGACCCACAGCAACCACCGCTTTAGGAGCCCTGGACTCAGCAGGAAAGTAATGAGAGGTTGTGTCACTACCACGCGAGGCATGGAGCCAAAGGGAGCTTTCTCTTATTGAACGAAGTTTTTTGGTGATGTATTTCTATGTATACTTGAGAAAGTGTTCCCACAAGCCTTAAATTAAGGCAAATAAAATGCAGAATCACCAGAAAGTAAAGACCAACAGCATCAACGTAGAATACAAATGTCTTCAGTAGTCTATAGGTGGACATTGAAATAGTATGCTCAGGCTGTTGAAATTGACCTTAATTTGATTCAAATTAAGAAGCTTCTCTTCCTTTCATGCTGCAATAGGTTTCTAATGGTTCCCAATTAGAATTAATCCAAGAAATTAAATGATTCTAAAACCTTGAATTGGTAAGTAATTCAAGGAACTTCATCTTTATATTAAAAACCGTATTAATAGAATTTTAGAAGTAGAAAGGCCCTTAGCAACTAGGGAATCCAGTCATTTATTTTCTACAAGAGGAAAACCAAGGCCCTGAAAGAGTAACTCATTTGTTGATGACCACACAGTCCTCTTCCTCAGTATAATTCTTTTCTCCGCAGTTCTTACTCAGGAAGCAGTCTGACTAACCCTGAGCTAAAGTTTCGTTTGCAAGTGCTTTTGGTATTTTTGTTCTGGAATTGTGCGTTTCTGTGTGCTCTCCCTTTTTGAAGCCTGAGCCACGGTGCTAACCCATGGCCTAGCGCGTGAGAGCTGGAGAACACCTCTGCAGTTGTTTAGCCTCGATCGCCAGCCTTGGCAAGGAAAAATGACAGAGGTTCAGAAAAGTCAACAGGGGCTCACCTCATTTCATAACTAGCTGGTCCCAAACCTGGAATAGAACCCTACCCTTCAGATGGCCAATGTACTGTGGTATATTTCCTGGGATGTCAGGCTCCATCCCGGTCTTGCCACTCCCGCTGGTTAGGAAGCATGCATACACAGTTAGCAAAAGCAAATTTACTTGAGAAGTGTACTAACTAGAATTTTTATAACCTGTAATATGGTAATTCTTAACCACAATTCTTGTGGTCTTTAGGATTTTTAAGATTGGGGCATTTTCTGCATTTTCTTCTGTTGCCTTCAGAAATGATGAATACATTTCCATTTGATTTGTCTCTCTTTTTCCAAACCCCAGCATATAAATAACGACCATATTCATGGAGAGAAGAAGGAGTTTGTGTGCCGGTGGCTGGACTGCTCAAGAGAGCAGAAACCCTTCAAAGCCCAGTATATGTTGGTAGTGCATATGAGAAGACACACGGGCGAGAAGCCTCACAAATGCACTGTGAGTACAAAAGTGGGCGGCAGGTACATGTGGGTCCTTCCCCATATTCATAAGAGCTGTGCAAACTGATGACACTAGCTCAGGGGAAGCGTGGTTGGGTGGCAAGAGAAGAGGACTAGAGTATTGTCTGGTGATAAATGCTTGGTTGTTTCAGTGACTGAGTTGGACAGCGCAGCTCTGCAGAGTGGCAAGGGGGCAGTGGTGGCTGGCACTGGGAATGAACACAGGGCCACCCTGCTGGCCACAGCCCAACAGCTTATGGTACTATGGGGCTCAGAAGGCAAAGTGCCAGCTTCCAACTTACAGAGTTGAAGTTGACTTTTAAAATAGCTAATCCCTATACCAGGTTTTAAAGTTTTCCCTTCCTTTCCTAGTGAGTCCTCAGGCATAGGCGTATGGAGTGGGACGGGGCTGCTGCAAGGCTGTGCATTCTTCACTGAGGTGCCCACAAGGCACACTGGGCACGCTGAGCCCTGGTACTTTACATCTTAAAGGCCCTTTACAAACATGATCAAATTCCATGTCTTTGTATGGACACAAAGCTATATTAATGAACTTTGTGCTGAATCTGAAATCAGTGGGAATTTGAGGAGATCAATGAGCAGATAATGAAACCCATTGTCCACATTGAGGGGTCTATTAAAAAAAAAAAAAACTTCAGGACTTTTACTGGCACTGAAAACTCTTTATCTTGAACTGCACCAAGCTACATCTGAATCCCAATAAATGCAGAGTTTAGTGGACTTTTTGTTCCTGGGTTTTGAAAAGCTGCTGACCCTTGAAACGTCAGTTTTTCATCAACTTGGAGGGCGTGTTAGGCATAAGCTGCTGTTGCCATTGTGCAGAGTAATCCAGATTTACCTGTTGTCCTTAGTTTGAAGGTTGCACAAAGGCCTACTCGAGACTAGAAAACTTGAAAACACACTTGAGATCTCACACTGGAGAGAAACCATACGTCTGTGAGCACGAAGGTTGCAACAAGGCTTTCTCAAATGCCTCTGATCGCGCCAAGCACCAAAACAGAACGCATTCCAATGAGGTAAGCATCCTCAGTGGGCACGGAGTTTGCATAAGGAAACAAAGGAACCATCCCGGGGAAGGCACATGGAAGGCGCAGTGTGTTCTGTTTTGTTTTCCCCTTGGCCATTCCCAGCATGAGTGGGCTCCGCCCCTGCAGGTGAAGGCTTGGGCTTCCTAGGTGGGACTGGAAACTGGATCTTATTTGGAGAATAATAGGAGATGAAGAGGAAACTTCTTAAAACCCCTGCGAACTTACTAGTTTCATGTTGTTTTGAACTGCCACCTACTGGTCAAACAGTGGGAGCATTTAACTTGGACTCTGAGCCAGTCACTCTGCCCAAAATAGCAGGAATCCATGCAAAGGATGACCCCGTAAGCCCCAAGGATATATTAAGAAGTAGCATGTTGACAGCTGACAGCTTCCTGCTAAGTCATCCACTTTTATTTGCTTCCTCCAAGTGATATCTTCAAATGGTGTTATATCAAAAAAGATCTTTACGGAGCAACCAGCCTTGGCTAAATGCAATTTTCAGACACTCTGAATTCCAAAGGATCTTGGAAAATGGTCTCAGAAACCCAGAATACTTTCTAGGCAGTTATTTAAGAAAACATATTGAGTAAAGCTTCCGGGTGGTTCCTGTTGTGTTACTGTTATTTTAGGTAGTTATCTCTGCTAAATTGTAGAGAGGCATAAGAATGAAAATTACTCCAAATTCATTGCTTATGTTTTAGTGTGCGTCTCCCTACAGACCTCCAACTTGGCCTTGGAGGTCTAGCTCAAATTCTGGCTTGTCTGTGAAACCTTCTCTTGAATGTATCGCAAGATTAACAAAAGGACTCCTCGTATTTTGAGTGGAAATAGGATAGTTAACTAGAATTTGTTAACATGAGACATAGTTCAGCACCACAGTGTTTCATCCGTTTGCTTGGAATGTGTTAGGCAAGGAACATTGTGCACACATGAGACCTTGGAGTGGCTGTCATTTGATCTCACCAGCACAGGTCAAACTCATTCATGATCTTTCAGATGGAGAGCTGGGCCGAAACAATCTTGATAGAAACAAAATGAGCCATTCTGCTCAGTGGCCATTTGGCTTTCAGGTGGTCAAGATGGTTCTCACCATGTTTTCTTCAGCTGAAACTGACAGAGCAAAAGTGTCCCTAAAGGGATTAACCACACCGTAAAAAGCACACTCACTCACAAACTGTCACATGTAAGTTCATATATACCAAGTTTTTGTGTGAAAAGATCATGGAAACTGGAGTTATTTGGAATCTCATTATTTTCTAACTGTTTGAAGACATTTTAAAGATGCCACATCTCCATTTTTTAATGTAAAAATGCTTTTACAGTACGCAGTAGCTGGAATATAATCTATTATACTAGTTTGTACAAAATTTTAGGGAGTCTAGAATAGACAGAAACATAGAGATAGAAAGTAGATTAGTGGTTGCCAAAAGGAGAGGGGAGAGGGAATAGCAATGACTGCCAATGGGTATAAGGTTTTTTTGTTGGGGTGGTGAAGATATTCTGGAATTAGGTAATGGTGATGATTACACAATGTCTAGAATGTACTAAATGCCACTGAATTGTGCAATTTAAAGGGATTATTTTTATGGCATGTGAATTATATTTCAATTTAAAATTTTAAGGGATTTTGACTTAACTTAGAATGTATTTCATATATTTCACAGAGTTGAGTGTAATTTTGACTAGACATTTAGTGGGCATTCGTTCCTATAGATGTTAGGCCAATGTTCTTTCCTATTATCGTGGAGAAATTTGTACGGTGGGTATGTTAGGATCGGAATGCACACATATAAAGATAATTACCAAGCCTTTTTGTCTTTTTATGGACCTAAAATATTTGTACCTGTCCATTTGCTTTAATTGTAGTGTACTTGAGCTTGTGTTCTTTTCCAAGGTATAAAGTGCAATGTTGTGTGAGAGTTAAGTGTTTGTTACGAGATTAAAAAATAAAAGATATATTGGGCAGTAATGTCATTGACCACGCTTGAGCAATTTACTTAAATTATTAACCTTGATCATAAATACATAATTAAAATTCTACCCACATACATATTTACAAACAAATTATATTTCTCTATTCTATATGCAAGACTTTGGCCCTGTGTATGAATGATGGAGATTTTCAGATGCATCTAAGTTAAGTTTGTCCAGGAAATCCAGATTTGTGCAATCTCACAAGCCTAGAAAAATCAAGTGATTTGCTTTCATTTATTTCCTCTCTTATTTGCAACTTCATTTATTCACTAAACAAATACTGATAGCTAATTATGTGTCAAGCCCTTTGCTGTTCTAAGTGTGGCCAAGAAAATAATGGACTGGAACAGGAAGGGAGTAATTTCTGGCACTTCTCTGTCCCTCTGGCTGTCCTGCTCATTTAGGGCTGCTAGACCGACCATAGCTCTGACAGGACTTCTTACTCCAGATCACACAGCTCATATTTCCCTCAAAGATACTACTAAACAAGTTTCCTGAGCTCTGATTTGGTTGAACCTCCCTTTCTAGAAAGCTGCAATGGCTCCTGCTTTCCTGTAAGGAAACTTGAGACTCCCTAAGCTTGTGTAAGTGTCTGTTCTCACAGGGCCCAAGCTTGCCCCTCTAGTCCTCACCTCTCACTATCATGATCATGAATGAAACATTCCAGAAGCTGGTGCTGTGGACTGCCATGCTTAGGTGCGTGAAGTGGTTCTGCCACTGGACCTTTGCTGAGGACACTTCTTTTTGGCATTCCAAGTAAAATGACTCCTAATAAAAGCTCTGTGTATTGAGTGCTTACTACGTTCCATGCATCCTGGTAAGCACTTCATGTACATGATCTAATTTAACGCTTACCAATAACCCCATGAGCTGGGCATTAAGCCCAGATATAGAATCTTAGTAACTGATGCCTTCCATGATTATCCCAGCTAAAAAATGATCCCTCCTCTGTCTATATCCTTACATAGCATTCACACTTTATATTATATAGATCATTGCATCTTCTTATTTTTCCTATCAGATTTTGTATTCCTTATGATTAAATCTTGTTTTATGCAACTTTGTGCTTTCAGAATCTTGCACCTCAGTAAGTCTGAGAACATTTATCTTAGCCTTTAATTATATTTTATTTTAGTCACTGATCATAACAAAATTTGTGGGCAAAAGCTGTGTGAAGGGATATTTTGTTTATGTTATGTTGTTGTGAGGCATACATTTCCTGAACCTGTTTTCTTGTGAATTTGTGAACTTTTGTGGGTAGATAATGTGTATGTTCACACACAAGGGCACATGTGCACAGATGCACCTGTATGGGCTGTTGTTTCTGGAAGTGCAGGAGCTGACACATTTGTATCTCATTACACATTGGCTGCGTCCTTGGTTCTAAGCTAACCCATAATGTACATCCATATATTTATAGGAAGAGTAGCTCTCCAAACATGCAGGCTTTGTGTTCCCTCTCTCCTTCTGGTCTCCACACCTCTGCCCCACATATCCCAGTCTGCCTGCTAATGGAACAACCTGTCACAGGAATGCTGTGAGCAAGCATAGGGCCCGTGTCAGAACACTGTAAGGTAATGGCACTAATTGTCAGAGCCAGTCTTTTGTCCCTAATGCATAGAATTTGATGTGCTCATCTTATTTTATATATATGCTGCAAATCACACAAGCTCCTGAATAGATGTAATTCATAGTTAATGGGAATCAATTCTGCCCAAAGGAATCTCAGGTTTGGAGGTGAAACCTCTCAGTTTCAGGATCTTTGCTTCACTGCATTAGGACATTTCAGCATTTTAGGTAGCACTCAGTCTGTTCTTGGGCTTTTAGTGAAAAAGCATCTTTTAGACATACATTCTACAAGACACAGCATCATTTTAAATATAATAGGTACATTATAGTAATCCTGCTTTTCATGACGATTGCTTACGTAAAAGCTCATCCTCTGCTATACATAGATATAAATATATATTCATGAAAGCATCCTTGCGTATATTATATTTTAAGTCAAGTGAGCAAACTCACAAATCCGATGTTGGTCATGAGCCAAAGGCCAGCAGTTCTGTGATTTGAGAAAATAATCCGCTTATATAAGCATCCGCATAATTTTTTATGACTGTATCCTTAGGCTTGATCACTGACCCACATAGAAAATGAGATTAGCATGAAATAATTTATAGACCTTAGTTATAAATTCACCCAGGAGAAGAAAACAGACCAGAAATCCTGGTCCCCAGAACATCCGTCAGCCCTCTGTAGTTTATGATGAGGATTCACGGACAGTCTGTAACAGGGCTTTCCAATTTCGAAGAGCAGAAAGGGTCTGGCTATTTTGAGCCCTGAACATCCCCACACTTTAATGCTACCCTTTTAAAAGAGCACATTTTAGCGTCATCTAACATGGGAGATGCCATCGGCAGTTTCAAAATTATGCCTATGCATAAATAGCACATTTTCAAAAAGATCAGAGTGATATTCGATCTCAGAACCAGGGCATCCATAAAAAATTTTGTCACACAATCTCTTCTGAAAAGTGTGCAGTCTTCTCCTGATTAGATGATGGGTATCTTTTAAGCCATCTTCATTGTCATCGTCATCACGTCATCGTCAAATATCTACTGAGTGCCTATTATGGCACCGTGATACTTCTCACTCCCAGTATAAATGCTTCCAAGAACATCAAGGCAATTTACACATTCTTAGTTCTCCCTGAGCCTCTCTCTCAAGCCATAATCTATTAAAGCTAGATTCTATGGACACGGAACAGTGTTCTAATGGCCTTATTAGACTATTAGTTCCTAGAGGTATCTGAACACCTCGAAGCCTTGTGAAAGTGTTTTGAAAGGATTAAAAATGTAATGAGCAACCGTAAAGGACTTCTGGGCTGGGGCATAATCTCCTTCATAACAATCTCTTACCTCATTCTTGTGGCATTTGGCAGAAACCATATGTGTGTAAAATCCCAGGCTGCACTAAGCGTTACACAGACCCAAGCTCCCTCCGGAAACACGTGAAGACAGTGCATGGCCCAGAGGCTCATGTCACCAAAAAGCAACGTGGGGACATCCATCCTCGGCCCCCACCCCCGAGAGATTCCGGCAGCCATTCACAGTCCAGGTCGCCTGGCCGGCCCACTCAGGGAGCCCTCGGTGAGCAGCAGGACCTCAGCAACACTACCTCAAAGCGGGAAGAATGCCTCCAGGTGAAAACCGTCAAGGCAGAGAAGCCCATGGTATGTCATTCACTCGCCTTCTGACTTCACAGCTGGCCCAGGGTCATTTAAAAGAGCCAGGTAGGGCGCACAGAGGGACAGGACTTCCCGGTCCTCACTGTGTCAGGCTGTCTCTGATCTGAGGAGGCGATGAGGGCAGTGACCTGGATTGCTTACTTGAAGTTGATCAACTCAGAAAAAGAGTTTCTAGGTTTCCTAACTGATTTTTAAAATTACTCCCAGAACCATACCACTGTGCCATGGAAGGAAGAAAGACACGACTGTCTGTCTCTCCAGCGTGTCTGTGATGTTGAAAATCATTCATTGACTCTTCCTGTAAATATGCTTTCTGTCTTCTTTGCCCTGGTGACCCCAAGGTAAATAAGCCATGGCCCATATTCTTCAGGGGTTTACAGCCCAGTGGGATAGACAGGCTGAAAAACAAATACCATGCAGTGTGATGGGGGCTTACACACAAGTCTGGGTAAGGAGGATTCAAGAGAGGGAGAGGCTGCCAGTCAGTCGGGGCAGAGGAGGCCATGGGATGGGAGTTCAGCACTGCAGAGGGAAGAGCTGAGGAGAAGGCGGCGGAGGAGGAGCACAGCGCGATGGGAGGGGAGTGGCATAGCAGGGGTGAGATTTTTTGTTTGTTTTTTTGTTTTTGTTTTTTGAGGAAATCACTCCAGTACCAGTCTAGAGACTGGGTAAACTGGAGACCACTTTTGCCGTTGGGCCTGAACCAGCGAGGCAGAGCACAAGAGAAGGATCTGAAAGATTCAGTAGGCAACTCTTTCTGTTTGGAGACTAATATGACATGTGGGCTCTGCTACTCTTTCAGCTTCTTTCAAACCTCAGTTCGTGACTTCGCTTCATGAATGTGACTTTATAAAACACCTAAAAATTTCAAAGACAACAAGAAAAATTAAAAGAGTAGATAGTAGAGGAGATTCAGCCCATTTGGCCATGCATAGAATGGATTTAATTGTGCAAATATATTGGGTTCTGGGCTGTCACTCTAATCTGTGAAGGAAGTGTACCAGAGAGAAGTTTCATGCTGAGACTCCCAGATGCATGGAAACGATCAGGCCAACAGATTTATACTTAAAGTCAGCATTTTCTTAAAATTAGAGCAGTCTACCGGATGGGCAGCCTATGAATTCATGAGTGATGTCACTGTATAGCAGTACGCGTGGGCAGGAAATAATGTACAATCTCACCATTGGGAGGGTGAGAGGCTATGTTTTAATGACTTACTGAGTTTGTCTTTGAACTCTTAAGAGTCTTAGAGAATGACATTAAGTCTGGCCAAAAATAACACAAATCAGCTATCCAGGTTTATCATGATTTCTCAATGGGTAGGTGTACTTTGCTTTAAAAAAGTATCTTAATAAGATGTTTATACATTATGATTGATCACTGTATTTTAATCAGTTCATAAACTGTGTTTTATATACTTTTTTTGGAGGGGAGCACGTGTCTATTCTTAAAATAAAGCCTACCTGTATAATAATTGTACAGAACATTCGACAGTTTACCCTCAAGTGTTTCACAAAACAAGGAAAGTTAATTTGCAGTCTTAGATTATGTCATGAAACTGATGATTTATGTTCTTGGGATATTCCAAGAACCCAGAATCTCTTCTACTTTTAGTGTGCATTCCTAGCTCAAGAAAATTATCATTTTCTCTTTAGATACCCATTGTTGAAAAAAGAAAATCGGTAGAAATAAAAGTTATAGCGATTTGGCTCAGCAACATTGAGATGCCCCAGTGTGTGAAATATTTTATAAAGTAATTCAATCATATGAGGTTGGTGCCAAAGTAATTGTGGGTCTTTTGCCATTAAAAGTAATGACAAGACCCACAATTACTTTGGCACCAACCTAGAACCATAGCACTAAAAGAAACCATAGAGATCAAGACTATGCCCATATTTTGAGGAAGCTGAGGCTCAGTGAGGTTAATAATCACATTTCCATAGCAGATGTTATGTGTGTATATGCTCACACACATTTAAAAGTAGGTATCTTCATAGACATGTACTTAATAAACATGAAATTTACATTTCTAGTTTTCTTTAAAAACATGTCTTTGATTTGATCATCATGCTATAAATTAAATTATTTCTTCTTTTTTCTTATTAATGCAACATCTCTTCTGTCTAATGCTCCTAAATGTCTTGTTCTCACTTCCTAAGGACAGTGGGTAATAAGGTGAGGGAATTTTGGCTTCTCTGTCCTTTTTGTTTTGTTTTCATTTTTTAACATTTACTTGTTTGTGTTAATTTTTCTTTAGTTTTTGTGGTTTTGTGATATCTTTGGTAGTGAACATTCCTCAGATATGTTTCAAATACAGAAGCAATGTGTTTTGAACATTCAGCATGTGAAAAATGTGGAGTTAGTTGGTGGAATTCATTGTTCTATCTGTCTAGGTTTCCATAACAAATCACACTGGGGCCTACCAAGCAGATGTTCTGAAAGACTCATTACTGTACTAATGCAAATTCATCCTTAGACCAGACGTGCACCACCTTCTTTGAGGAAGATCTGGCTTCATTTGTTGTTAGCAATATAATCTCTATTTAAATGTGGAAGCTCACTGAAGCAATTTCCTAGTTGTGAGTGCATTTGTGCCTTATATGAAGTGTGTCTGCCTGTGTGTTCACACAAATGCACAGGTTCATGTTTGCAGACACTCTGATTTCACAGTACAGAAGTAAAAGACATCCAAAGCTCTGGAAACAAGTACCTCAGGAAGCAGCAGGTGGTCTGGCACTCCAGCACTCTGCTGAGGCCAAAAATTAAGCAAGGCTTCACATACTCATGATCAAATTTGTATATCTTATTTGGCTCTGCTTGGTTGCCCAGGACAAAGTTAGTGTACCATGCGGCACTTACTTGGAAAGTGTTCATTTGCTTGGGTGTATGTACCATGATAGCAGAAGAAGTGAACGGGTTCCAAAGGGAAGAGCCCTTCCTGGCGGCACTGTGCATTCCACCTGAGACTACGGTACTCTGTAACTGAGTGAGTGTAGTTATCTCTCCGTAAAGCACTCTCCCTTTCGGCTGCTGTCAGTGTTTATAGTAACACTGGTGATGGTGCTGCAGACACATGGAAGTAGCCGGCCTAAGAGTCCAGGCTAGTTGCACCATTCACTTTGTGACTTTGGGCAATCACTAAACTTCTCTGAACATCACTTTTCTTATCTGTACAAAAAGGATTCGACTGTTTATCAACCAGGACACTGCTGGAACTTCAGATAGAACAGTTCCGTGTTGTGTGACTGTCCTGTGCATTGTAGGCCATTTTATATAGTAATCCCCAGACATTGGGGCACCAGGCTTTCCACCCTGTATTTCCAGGAACCCTGGGAACTAGAGGAGGCAATACTTTCCCTGATTGAGGACCAGGTGGACTAGATTAAGATTCCATTATTTGCAGCATTGTCTTACAGAGTCTACTTGGTTGGGGTTAAGGAATCATTTCCTGATCCTCCTAGTGAACTGTTAGGGAGTACACTAAGGGGAACGGTGAAATCATTCTACAGACTCATGATGGCTGTGATCTGCAGCCTTTCTTTCTTTCTGAATATAGCACAAGCTTATTATATGATTGAAGTTTTACCTCTCTCAACTGCTTTTACTGACACCTTGGTTGAGGTTCCACAAAAGCAAGAAAATGTGGAAGGAGGGAGGAGAGATTACAAAGAGCTTGGCTAACCAGCCCTGAACAGCCTAGAGGGGCTCTTGTTGGAGGAGGTAATGTGTGCCGATGGTACATATCTTACATTTATGTTCCAGCTGAGCAAAATGAACCTAAAGACTAAAACCACCTGGGATCGTAGTAATTGCTAACACCCTGTGAGCCAATTGCTATTATCCAGGTCTTTTTATACTTGTATGCTCTCTGGGCTTCACACTTAATTCCTGACAACAATCTCTGAAATAAACGGTCCCCGTTTTGTAGATAAGGAAACTGAGGTTTGGAGTGACTAAGTAATATGCCCAAAGAATAAAGTGGTGGAGATGGGATTGGAACCAAGGAAGTGTGTTTGCAGAGTTGGTGATTGGGGCAGGATTCCATGGCTGATACCATGCCAATCACACTACAGCTAGCATTCTCTGCTGTCCATTGCCTCCCAGTGCCCATCAGCCTGGTGATCCATCCGTCATTTTGGCCAAAAGTGGCTAGCTCCATTCACCAGAACGTAGTTTTTCTTCTCATTCAACCAACCGATGATCTTGAAGATCTTGATATGCATGAGCTCTCATTATTGGCTCGCTTTCCTTGACCCTCCCTGGTGACATTTCTTTCCTTTCCACTTGATCCCAACAGACATCTCAGCCAAGCCCTGGTGGTCAGTCTTCATGCAGCAGCCAACAGTCCCCCATCAGCAACTATTCCAACAGTGGGCTCGAGCTTCCTCTGACCGATGGAGGTAGTATAGGAGACCTCAGTGCCATTGATGAAACCCCAATCATGGACTCGACCATTTCCACTGCAACCACAGCCCTTGCTTTGCAAGCCAGGAGAAACCCGGCAGGGACCAAATGGATGGAGCACGTAAAACTAGAAAGGCTAAAACAAGTGAATGGAATGTTTCCACGACTGAACCCCATTCTACCCCCTAAAGCCCCTGCGGTCTCTCCTCTCATAGGAAATGGTGAGTTCTACATCAGACCGTTCATCTGCTCAGGGTTTTTTTTTTTGTTGTTGTTGTTCTTTTAAATGCAGACCCTCAGTTTTATGTTTGCTAGTTTCTCCATTAGTCCTAAAATGACGCTGTAACTATCCGTTAATGTTGAGCCCATTCAAGTTGCCTTTTCGGATGGTCCATATTTTAAAAACAGCTAGGAACAGTATAATACTGAGAAAAAAATGTGACTCTGCATGACTCATATTCTGATGGTGAAATCATAACTGTTAGATTAGGGTAAGGGAATGCCAGCAGTAGAGGCATCTGTGGTTGGAACTCTGTCTCTGGTTTCCAAAATTTAAAACCAGGAGGTTAGCAGCCACTTTTATTTATATTTACCCAGTTCAAGGAAAGTCAAAAATCCCTCCCCATTGTCAGTCCCCAGGTCAGTTTGTACTTCTGAGGTTACACTTCTGAGAGCACCTAAGGGGTGAAGCTCTGCCCTGCACCAACACGGGTGTTACCTGTTGATAGGATGTGGCATGAACAGGACACCCTGAGCGTGAATGTGAAACTCGTGGAATACCTTTGCCTGGGGACTTGCCTGCAACTCAAGCGTTGTGTACCCATCACAAGATTCCTTTTGTCCTTGCACTGTGCTTGGGGAGGGGCTTCACTGAATTGAGGGAGTTGTTATTGTTTTGCTTAAGCCAGACATCAGCAAACTATAGCCTGCGGCCATCTCCAGCCGCCCCTGTTTTGGTAAAGAAAGCTTCATGGGCACCCCGCCACGCCTGCTTGCTCACTGCTGTCTGTGGCTGTGTTGGGGCTACACTGCAGAGCTGAGTAGTTGTGAGGCAGGCAATGTGGCTTGGGACACCAAAAATAGTTCCTAGCTGACCCTTTACAGAAAAGGGTTACTCATGCCTGGTATAAGTCATCCTCGAAGGGAATTTTTCCGCATGGTCTCTCCCTTTCTCTGTCTCCAGGCACACAGTCCAACAACACCTGCAGCTTGGGTGGGCCCATGACGCTTCTCCCAGGCAGAAGCGACCTCTCTGGGGTGGACGTCACCATGCTGAACATGCTCAACAGGAGGGACAGCAGCGCCAGCACCATCAGCTCCGCCTACCTGAGCAGCCGCCGCTCCTCAGGGATCTCGCCCTGCTTCTCCAGCCGCCGCTCCAGCGAGGCGTCGCAGGCTGAGGGCCGGCCGCAGAACGTGAGCGTGGCTGACTCCTACGACCCCATCTCCACCGACGCCTCGCGCCGCTCCAGTGAGGCCAGCCAGAGCGACGGCCTGCCCAGCCTGCTCAGCCTCACGCCCGCCCAGCAGTACCGCCTCAAGGCCAAGTACGCGGCTGCCACAGGAGGGCCGCCGCCCACGCCCCTGCCCAACATGGAGAGAATGAGCCTAAAGACGCGCCTGGCGCTGCTCGGGGACGCCCTCGAGCCTGGCGTGGCCCTGCCTCCCGTCCATGCCCCGAGGAGGTGCAGCGACGGGGGAGCCCACGGCTACGGGCGACGCCACCTGCAGCCGCACGATGCGCCAGGCCACGGCGTGAGGAGGGCCAGCGACCCCGTGCGGACGGGCTCCGAGGGCCTGGCCCTGCCGCGAGTGCCGCGCTTCAGCAACCTCAGCAGCTGCAACCCCCCGGCGATGGCCTCGTCCGCGGAGAAGCGCAGCCTCGTGCTTCAGAATTACACGCGGCCCGAGGGCGGTCAGTCCCGAAACTTCCACTCGTCCCCCTGTCCTCCCAGCATCACCGAGAACGTCACCCTGGAGTCCCTGACCATGGACGCCGATGCCAACTTGAACGATGAGGATTTCCTGCCGGACGACGTGGTGCAGTATTTAAATTCCCAGAACCAAGCAGGGTACGAGCAGCACTTCCCGAGCACCCTCCCGGACGAGAGCAAAGTGCCCCACGGGCCCGGTGACTTTGACGCGCCCGGGCTGCCAGACAGCCACGCTGGCCAGCAGTTCCATGCCCTCGAGCAGCCCTGCCCCGAGGGCAGCAAAACCGACCTGCCCATCCAGTGGAACGAAGTCAGCTCCGGAAGCGCGGAACTGTCCTCCTCCAAGCTCAAGTGTGGCCCGCGGCCCGCTGTGCCACAGACTCGCACCTTTGGGTTCTGCAACGGCATGGTCGTCCACACGCAGAACCCCTTGAGGAGCGGGCCTGCTGGGGGCTATCAGACCCTCGGGGAGAACAGCAACCCCTACGCTGGCCCAGAGCACTTGATGCTTCACAACAGCCCCGGAAGTGGCACCAGTGGAAACGCTTTCCATGAACAGCCCTGTAAGGCCCCGCAGTATGGGAACTGCCTCAACAGGCAGCCAGTGGCCCCTGGTGCGCTCGACGGTGCCTGTGGTGCCGGAATTCAAGCCTCAAAGCTGAAGAGCACCCCCATGCAAGGGAGCGGGGGCCAGCTGAATTTCGGCCTGCCAGTAGCACCAAATGAGTCAGCTGGCAGCATGGTGAATGGCATGCAGACCCAGGACCCGGTGGGACAGGGGTACCTGGCTCACCAGCTCCTCGGCGACAGCATGCAGCTCCCGGGGGCAGGACGCCCCCGTCAGCAGATGCTTGGGCAGGTTAGTGCTACCTCACACATCAACATCTATCAAGGGCCAGAGAGCTGCCTGCCAGGGGCTCACGGCATGGGCAGCCAGCCGTCAAGCTTGGCAGTTGTCAGGGGCTACCAGCCGTGTGCCAGCTTTGGGGGCAGCAGGCGCCAGGCTATGCCAAGGGACAGCCTTGCTCTGCAGTCAGGACAGCTCAGTGACACAAGTCAGACCTGCAGGGTGAATGGCATCAAGATGGAGATGAAAGGGCCGCCGCATCCGCTGTGCTCTAATCTGCAGAATTACTCTGGTCAGTTCTATGACCAAACCGTGGGCTTCAGTCAGCAAGACATGAAAGCTGGTTCATTCTCCATTTCAGACACCAGCTGCCTGCTACAGGGGACCAGCGCCAAAAATCCTGAGTTACTTTCCCCAGGTGCTAATCAGGTGACAAGCACAGTGGACAGCCTCGACAGCCATGACCTGGAAGGGGTACAGATTGACTTCGATGCCATCATAGACGATGGGGACCACTCCAGCCTGATGTCAGGGGCCCTGAGCCCAAGCGTCATTCAGAACCTTTCCCATAGCTCCTCCCGCCTCACCACGCCTCGGGCGTCCCTCCCATTCCCAGCGCTGTCCATGAGCACCACCAACATGGCTATAGGGGACATGAGTTCTTTGCTGACCTCCCTAGCGGAAGAAAGCAAATTCCTTGCAGTTATGCAATAGGCTTTAGGAAAAAGGGACTGCAACCAACGTAAATCAATAGGAGTTGAAGAGATTAAGCTGACTTTGTTTTGGCTGTTTTTTTAGTTCTGTATGTATTTTAGCAATCTCATCTCACCTAACGGAGATGTGTTTCAAATATATTCCTTTTATGGAAAAGGACTCTGAAAAACCCTAAAGTATTCTAGGGAGAAACTGTCTTCCATTTCAGTTTTGAATCAGTATTGTTACACACAGACCACCCTCTTTTTTTAAAAAAAACAAAAACAAAAAAACAAAACTGTAAGCCCCACCCCTTTTTAGTAAACCTATGTAAATGTGTGATGTGCATATTCTTTCTTTTAGAAGAGCAGTCAAATTAAAGGATTTGACATGTTTTGCTGTTGCTCAAAGGAAATAGGAGTTGGTGTGCTTGTGACCAAGGGGTTACACTTCCAGCTTTTAAAATTCTCCTTTACATGTGCTCAGTGTTTTGTTTTGTGTTTTGGTTTCTTATTTCTTATTTGGTTTTTTATTTTAATTCCCACATTGGGCACAAGAATCAGAATATGGATAGCGAGTTTAAGAATCTTTTGTGGGTGCACTGTAGCATAGATGACAGAATATTGATGTTTTCCCCATCCCCAATTCAGTTCAGGGCATACTTTCCACAGTTATACAGAAATGGAAATGCGGGGCTCTTGTACATGAAATAGGCGCTCACAGTTTTGGTTTTCAGCTCTTCATGTCTGTAAGTGTGTTTTCGGGGAGGCTATGTCTGTATGGTTTGTTCTCACTTATCACATTTGCCTCTCCTCCCACTACCTTCATGAACAGTTAGTGTTGTTTGGCACTGCAGTTAAAGATAAGGGACTGGCAGTTGGTGACAGTTACATTGCTACTTTTCTCTGTTCTGGTAAGAAGTTAGATAGATTGTAGATTGAAGCATTTGGGTAGAATTAGTTGGGGGAATATTTGTGGGTTGCTGTGTTTGTTGATTAGTTCCATCTCTCCCATTTTAACTGAGAATTGATTATATATAGCTCTAAGTATATAGGTATTTAAACAACCCAACAAGCGGCTGTATCAGTAACATTTATTAATTCCACTATAGTGAAGGAGGATTTCCATTTTAAATACCTTATTTTGAGGGATTTATAAAACTTAGTTGTAAAAGAGAAAGCCCACATAGTGGGAATAAATTGCTTCAGCCATTTTTAGTATTTGAGAGCACTAGGGAAGATGTTTAGTAGCTGTGTGGATGCCTTTTTTCACACCCTGTCTATTGAATGCTGCATCCATTCACGAAGTTAAGTGTTATATGCAGTTAGTCCTTAATGTGGACTGGATCTGTACTTTTGGATTAAAACATTTAAAGATTTTTGAAGTGCAGCTGCTTCCCATGTGCGTTTGATACACATAAAAGTCATACTGTGTGTGCACAAAGAGTACATGGATTTTCCAGCATATTGCTTTTAAAAATATGTAAACTATTAAAATATTAACACCTCAGGCTACCTGCTGTATTCTGTCCCATTGACCCCGGAATTGGATTTATTGCAAGTGATTGATAATTCAATTATGTGGCTTTTCCCCTTTAATCCTGCCATTTAAATTACAGAAGAAAGACAAAATCAAGTAAAATAAAGTGTTAGATAATAGAAAGAGTGTTAGGACGAGCCCACTTTTCTCATATTTATGTTCTTTCATTTGGACCAAGAATCTCTCCGCATGGAGGCTGATTTGCTGTTGGGGACTTTGGCTAAGACTATTGGGTTTGCTTTCAACTAGATGTTCCTGAGACGAGCAGAGGGATGCCGCAATTTCCCCTCCATGCCTGCTATCCTCCCCCATGTAAGTCTTCTTTGAAATTAAAGGATGTGTCTCCTTTGGAACAACCCCATAACAAAAGAGAACTGCTGATCTGAGCATAGGAGAGTGGAGGCTCTACCACTTTTCAGCTGAAAAAGCAAGGTTTTCTCTGTGTTTCTGAAACAGGGCATGATATTGTCACAAAATCAGAGATCCAGTCTCACTTTTCCACAAATCTCCAAATCTCCGGTTTTATCTTGTGTGCTCTAATGGTTTGGCTCAATTCCTTTCCAACTCTTGTTTTCAAAGCTTGGGGCCTGAGTGTTCTCCAGTCCTCCTGAGAAAGGAGCTTGGATGGAAGGCACCATGCTGGCCTCCTCCATCAGAGGGCTTTTCCAGTAGTATTCTTCGATGCAACCTCCATTTCTCAGTTACCATCATTTCCTGTATCAGCTTTGTCCTTCCCGAGGGGTGCACAGTGATCTGGTCCACCTCTGTTGTTGTCTTGTGCTTCTACTCTTTCCTGTGGTTTCAGGTTGTTTTCTGGGTTTCCCCCATTCATATATATATATACACACACACACACACACATATATATATATATTTGCTTTCATTTCTACTGCTTTTAGATTTCCAGGAGATGCTAGTTTCAGCTCAATGTTTGACTTCTCTCAATATGGAAATTTCAGAAGGATGGAGGAGAGGAGAGAGAGAAGAAGAAAGTGTACTCCTCCAGAATTTCAGTGATCTGGCGTGGCAGTCCAGTGGAAGGAAGGTCTTTTGAGGTCTCTTAGAAGTATCCTTTTGGGACGTCCTTTTGGGATCTCTGTAGGCTAGGCATCTCATATCTTGAGACTCACCCCCAGCCTCCAAGCCTGTCTCCATTTCTGTAACCTGCGCATTTAGAGCGAGAGGACCGCCTCACTAGTGTCACCATCCTGCCTTTTCTAAAACATGCAGGCTCACACACAGTACTCCTGCTTAATGTCTGTGTTAAACTTTTTCTAACCATTTTTGTTTTGTTTTTCTGAAAAAGTTAACCCCTCCCAACTCCTCACACACTGGCTCTTCCTCTTGAGCCACAAAGTTTTGATTCTTGCGATGTATGTGCCTTATTTTATGTTAATCTTGTCAATGAGAGGGACCAGTTGGTGTTGCCCAGTCAGCACTCTGAGGCTGTGTGTGCACCAGCCAGAGAGCGCACAGTGGTAGCAGAGTCGAGGCTGTCTTGTATCCTGGTTTCCGGTGTTGTTTTGAACTGATAGGAGGATGTTCTCTTCTGACAAGTTACCCTTGTGTATCCTGCAGACGTGTAAAATAAAATACAAGTTCATTTTTTTCACCTTTTTTAGATTTTTAAAAAATAAAATGTGTAATCCTTTTTTAAAAGAAACACATGTAAATACATTTAAGTATTGTAGGCATAGCGTTCAGATGTGACTGGCCCAGGCATTCCTCGGACAAGCCTGCATTCCCCGTGATCACGCCCACCTCAAGCCCAGGGGCTGCAGCACAGCCACAGATGAACTCTACCTTTGCTTTCAGAACCACTTAGTCCTTTTGTAACAAAGAAAAAAAATGTTTCTTACAATGTCAATAAAAAATTCTTTGTACGGAAATTTTTACTGTGTTGTTTATTAAATGCATAGTTGAATGGAAAGAGTGCTTTCTTTGAAAACATCCAGAGCCTGTAGTTGGATCCAGAATCTCCACGTACAAGCTGAATGGACTTTTGCTGTGAAATCCAGATTCCTTAGCCCTAAACTGGAGAATAAGATGCAGATACATCCATGCTCATGGTGTTGTGAGGATGTGTACCCGGGGGGCACACCAGTTGCAACCATTATTGTGTTTCTTTCTTTTATTGCTTTCCAAATTGAATGAGGAAGGACGGTGATGGAGTTCAGTGTCTAACAACTTAATGTGTCCCTCTTTTATATATTATTCTCTGATTTCAGGGATGCCCTACCACATATCAACAGAAAATCTGACGTGGTAGAAGCCTACTTTATGTGGCTTTTAGTAACTGACCTCAGCCAGAATAAATTGTCTTCCGTGTTTTTCTTGTGGCGGTGTGCAATATTATTCTCCAGATCACCGTAAACTACTCCAAAAACCTTCTCTTCCTCTTTCTTAGTAGCAGTACATGTCTTTTGAGCCATCAACTGAGGGTAGTTGTTTCTGGGAAGGGCGGGAGTCCCGGCTGTGGGTATCGCAAGGCTACAAGGATGGACGCATGCATGTGTACACGGGCACACACATGCACACATGCATATATAAACACACAGGTGCAACAGCATGTGTTCCCTAGGCCTTATGTCCTGTGGGGGATGTATGTTCCCTGTCCTCCAGCAGGGTTTCTTTGGCCATAGGGATGCTTCATGCTTTCCTGATTCTTGGGGAGAATTTCCTCCCGTCCAATCTGAAATGCTTTGCGTTTGTAACTAGATCCCTTATTTAAGGCATCCAAACGAATCCAGAAAAAAAAGGAAAAATAAGAATTTATGCCCTGCCTCAGGTATAAATTGTCAGCTCACAAAGGGATATGCCATGTACCAAATCAAAATAAATGAAAGAAATGAGGCTAAGAGAAAGGAAATGTAGGGCAGGGACATCCCCAGGAACGAGGTGGGTGACATGGACTCCTTCAGTTCACATGAGCCTGGGGTGGATGGGGCTCACAACTTTGTAAAAATGCCTCTTGCACAGGAAATACAAAGGAAGCAGAGTTTGAGGTAAAAAAGGTGGAGCTACAATCTGTTATTTCATAAAGATCTCCTTTAAGGAATTTTGGGGATGTAAAGACATTATATCTTACCCAAACGAGAATATAATAGAATGCTAAAATGAGAGGTGAACATTTACCTACTGCCAAAATGTCTTGATTTGTCCTTACTTTCCCCTCCCAGGTTTTCTACTTATTTTCTTGGCAGTCTTCCCTTTTGGTTTGACTTTAGAGTATATTTACTATTCCAAACACAATCTGAACACATCTTTCCTTTCATATTAGCCTTTACTTTCTAAAATCTCATTTTACTAATGTAGACCTTGTTTATGCCTTTTCTACCTAGTTATTCAAGTTCTTGACAATTTTTCAGAACAGTAATAGACTCTAAATTGTTTTTTTGGCTTTTTTTTTTCTTTGCATACATTTTGTAGCCAGAGACTGGCCCACACTCACCCAGCAGAGGCATGGAAATTCCATTCTACAACTTTTCTCACCTGTCCCCAAATCTCGAATGTCACACACTGCTTCCACCTTTCCTCAGCACCCAGTGGTAGGTTAACATGACCCTGCCTTCAGAGACCTTGCACTGTCTGGGACATAGGGCAGTGATGACATGTTCCATTAATTCAGCCATGCTGCCTCAGTATCTAATATTCCATTCATATTCTCTTGTAAGGACTGGAGATGAGGAGATGAACTAAACACAGTTCATATCCATGAGCTCCCAGCCCAATGGGAGAGGCAGACAGGGAAACAGGATGCAATGGCAACTCATAATGGAAGATGTTCAAGGGGAAGTTCAGCTTGGGGCACTGTCCATCTGGAGTGCCTATCACAGGGCTTCTCAGATATGCTACTATTGGCATTCGGGGCTGGATAATTCTTTGTTGTAGGGCACTGTCTTAAGTACTATAGAATTTTAGTGGTGTCCCACTAGATAACAGTAGCATCCCCCCACGTGGTGACAGCTAAAAACATCTCCAGACATTGCCACATGTCCCATGGCAGGGCAGGGGGGAGACGTCGCTGCAGACGGAGAACCCCTGGTTTATGGTGAAAAAAATACAAGGAGAGAGATTCAGCAGGCAGGGGTCCAGAGAGAGATCCCAGTACAGGCCCAGACTCAGCAGCCTTTGACCTGAAGGTGACAGATGAAGAAAGGGTAAGAGCATCATTGCGAGGCACAGGGGTACAGGGGTAGCAGGAGTAGAGGACTGAGGAAGAAATCCAGAGGATCACTGGCTCCAGGAACCAAGAGACATGAAGGCCTGCATAAGAAAGGGAGTAAGGGAGGGATGGGGAGGGGAGGGGAGGGGTGGAGAGGGGAAGGGAGGGGTGGGGAGGGGAGGGTGGGAGAGACAGCAGAGAGAGTGTGCTCTAGAAACAGGGAGGCTGATTCTAGAAGGCCAATACTGTCAAAAACAACATCCAGATCAAGTAAAACATGGACAGGAAAAGACAGGTTTTAAGAGTTAGGAGACCCTGGATGACTGCAGGGAAGCATTTTTCACTGGCGTGGTTGGGAAGAGAAACCAGAACACAATAGATGAGAATTAAGTGACACATGAAAAAAAGGGGAATGCAGTGGCCTCTTTGAAGCAACATACCGCATTTCATCCCCTCCAAGACGCCTTCCATAGTAAGACACTTGGTACTCCACGTTCCCACTAAGAAAGAACATGCACTGCCCATTAAACTATGACATGGTGCTTTTCATCCTCTAACAGGTAAGCTCCGATTTTAGTAGTTATCAAATTGGAAAAAAAAAATGCATACCTTGGAGAGTATGAAAGACATTATTTCCCAAGGAAAGGAAAGAGATAGTGGATCAAGGAGGGGTGGAGAGGAGGAAAGGTTGAACTTTTCTTGTAACTGTTCCGGCTGTGCTAGCCGGCTAATAGAAAAGAGGCAACAGAGTGCACAAGGTAGATGTTCCAGTGAACAGAGCCGGCATGGCAACTCCCTTGACCCACGAGACAGATAACTGTCCTGGGTGATTAGGCAGAGAGTAAGGATGAGGGGAAGTTCCGATTGATGTGCTGGAATGGCCATAGGTCAAGCAACCCAGAGAATGCAAAGGTGACTTAGACCTGTGAAGACAAGACCATCTGGCAATGTGTCAGGAAGGCCCCTGAGCCTGGCCTGGGCCTCTGAACTGAATGGGGAGTGAGGAAGCGGTTGGAAGGTGGAACAAGAAGATGAAGCACCCCATGAAGCAGCCCGAGGATCACGCGTCACTGCCCACTGCTGAGTTCCTGCAGGACCTAGGTTGAATAGACTAGGGGCAAGCCTCAAGGGTGGTGGGGGAAAATAATTCTGTAAAACACCCTTTGGCAATGACAGGAGTGGCACGCAAGGAGGGTGCTGGAGAAGGACTGGAAGTGGATGGGGTGGAGGGAGTGCCCTCGGACTCTTGCGGGATCCACAGCTGCCCTGCTGTTGGGTTCCTCAAGTGGCCAGAACTCACTCCCATTCTGCAAGTTCCTCCTCCCTCCCTGTAGGAAGAAAGCAGGAGAGTCGGCAAGGGAGGGGCTGCAGAGGTCGGGAATGATGCACTCTTCCCGTCAGCTTTCTCCCAGCCCCCAGCAGTCCGGTTCCAGCCTGACCCCTGCAAACGAAGACTGTGACCACAGAGGTGGCATGCTGGGGAGAACTGGGGCCAAGAAGCAGGATTTGCTATCACCAGCTCTTCACAAAGGAAGCAGGGAACTATATGTGGAATTCCCCAGGAGCAGTGCATGGACCTAGTTTTTTTTCCTTTCACTCTACAGGAACATTGTAATGAAGTACCAGGTTAATTTCCTCATAGGTACCTTGACTTCTCACTCTGCCGCAGCTCTATGGGGCTCAGCTCTCACTTCTCTCTTGCTCCTGGTTTCCCTTCTCCTACCTGAGACTTCCCAGCCTGTGGCTGAGTGATTGAAGTGAGAAGTGGCCTGGCAAGTCTGCTAACCCGACTGGAAGGAGCACGGCAGTGCCAAAGAGCTGGCCAACCTTACCCAGGGGCCTTCCGTTTGGGACCGAGGCCTGCTGCTAACTTGGGGGAAGCATTCAGCATGCCTAGGTAGGGGAATGTGCATGTATTGGCTTTGCTGTCTTCCTGCGCTGCTTCGGTCTTTGTCCTCATACCCCATCTAAAGAAAGACCCTCTAGCCACTCCAGTTGGAAGCAACTAAAACCTGATCACTCCCTACCTTTGAAAAAGATCCAGTCTTAGAATGTATGCTTCTATGCCAATGGTAGAAGGGACATCTCAGCAGTTAGCTCCCTTCTGTGTGCCTGTTCCTGAACTACTGAAATAAAAACCCCAAATACGCATTTGGTCATACGTGCAACCATCCTGGTGCTCTGCTCACGCCCTGACTGACGGCTGGAGAGCTTATGCAAGGTTTACCTTATCTGAGGTCATCACGGAGCAGTTACAGGAAGAGGACTAAGTACTCTTCTCCTACTTTGCTTCCCTACCTGCAAAATCCTCTGCTCCTGGAAGGCTCCCTAAGAAAAGATGGGGAAAGAAAAAGCACTCGCTCTCTCCCTGTGAACAGTCCAACCCACTTTGAATCCTGCAGTGCCTCCAGATGAGTGTTCTTCCTCTGCAGCTGGAAAGCCTCTTATGCTCAGAAATTCCAGAGTCCCAACATGATCCATGCTCAGAAGTTGGGCTACAGCTCTTCGGAGCTGGCAGGCACAAGCCTCCAGCCCTTCAGGGCTTGCAAGAGCCAAATGCGCTGCGGAGGTGTGATTCACTGAGTTCCCAGAGGAAAGGGAGGCAGCCAGCTGGCAGGGGATTACTGAACAGCCAGGCCAAGGCATTCCATTGCTGTTTGGAGACAAGCAGCCAGCTACCTCCCTTCTCTTCCTCCCCCACTGAGGCGCAGAGCTGGAGACAGG